CAGGGATCCAGCCAGTAGCAGGACCCACCTGTACTGATGTGGGGTGGGGGGAGGAGGGACAGAAAATACGGGACAATTTGACCATTTTTGAGAAAAAGTCAGGACACCTGCAGGAGGGCTTAAATTAAGGACTGTCCCTTCAAAAACGGGTCGTCTGGTCACCCTATTTGGGGATATGCAAATTAAACTGTTCAAAGGCAATAGGTAAAAGTTTTATTAAAACAGGGGTTTCATCTAATATGAAAGTGTAAAACCTGAGATTGCTTATTTTCTGTGTCACTTATGTATATGTTTGCTTTCCATTACTATTTCATCTCTGAATGTGTGGTTTTTCTGTTAAATAAACTGTGTTTATTTTTACCCCCAAGCTGGTCTCTGGTGTGTAAACTATGTGAAGTGTGCACACCAAAGGAGGCTGGAGGGCTGATTTCACTCCTTCAGGATTGATGAAACAGAGGGAGACAGTCCAAGTATCTGGGAGGAGGCTGGACTGGAAGGGCTGTTGGTGTCACCTTGCTAGGAGAAACTGGGCTGGTGCCAAAATGAGACTTTGTGCTTGTGGGCAGGCTATTGGTGTCAGGGAATTGAACCATAGCTGAATAGCATAAAAGCCCCTAAGGTTACAGGGCATTGGTGACAGAACCCGTTGAGCCTTAAAACGTCACAGAGTGTAATTTATATTATTTCAGTAACAACCATGAAAAACTATTCTTTCTGGTGAAATATGCACTTCAAATCACTAAGTAAACTGTGTGTATATTTTTAATCAAATTGCTACAGAATTTCTAAATGAAGTTATATAGCTCAAACTGTACTTAGCCACAAGAAATCTTTACTCAATTTACATGCCATTCCACATCTAAAGGAAAACATTCCTTACAAATTCTTTCTACTTCTATTACAAAGAGAAACAAACAGAACATGGAAAATGTGGTGTTGTAGCTATGTTGGATATTGTAGAGACAAGCTGAGTGAGGTAATATCTTTTACTGGACCAACTTCTGTTGGTGAGAGACACGAGCTTTTGATCATATACAAAGCTCTTCCTCAAGTCAGTCTCTTACAACTCTCTCACCAACAGAAGTTGGTCCAAAAAAATATATTACCTCATCCACCTTGTCTCTCATGGAAAATGTGCCATTCAGATAAAACAAAATGCGTATCTGCAAATGCAATATAATGTAGTGGGGGGGGGGAAGGAGAGAAGAGTTACTGAGATAACTTGCTTTCTCCAAATGGATTGCCTTCACAGAGCCATACTAAGATCACATGCCCTACCATGGAATGATTTCAAAGCATGCATTGTGGAAGCATGGCGAGGTCCTCCATTCTACAACCACGTGAATACAAGTCCTTATTCGCCAACTGTCCCTTGGATCCTTTATAACCCTGACACAGCAAGGGCAAAAGATCACATCAATAGGTATCCATAAAGGTAATAATACATGTAGAGAATAGAACTTACTTCAGTAACCTACCTCTTTTCACCTTTATGATACTTTCTTTATAGACTCCCACAAAAGAAACTAGCTAGCAATGACAAGGAGGCCTAGGGGAATTACTACTAATTGAAAAGTGAACAAATGTACTGCTTCCCTGCATGGAAAATCCAATCTGATCTGGACTCAAAAGAATATTTTTGGAAAGTTAAGAAATTAATTCTAGATAGCAGCTTTGTGGAATCAATCAGCATACTGCAAAGGGATTCTGCAGAAGCTGCTGCTCACTGTGGATAAAAATTGATAATTGTATTTAATAAAACAGATTTTTAATATAAATTAAATACAAGTTTATATTTAAAAATGAACCTATTCAAAATTAAAATATTAAATGGTGAAAAGCTATATTAAAGACCTAAATTTACTACAATCTATTAAAATAATTTAAATTAAATTAAAAGAACAATATTAATACTGTCTATGGGGGGAGGGATAGCTCAGTGATTTGAGCATTGACCTGCTAAACCCAGGGTTGTGAGTTCAATCCTTGAGGGGGCCATTTAGGGATCTGGGGCAAAAATCTGTCTGGGATTAGTCCTGCTTTGAGCAGGGGGGTTGGACTAGATGACCTCTTGAGGTCCCTTCCAACTCTGATATTCTATGATTCTGTGATTAGGCAGTACATGTTTGCTGCTGAAGTTATACAGACAGTCAAACCACCAAAATGTTGGAACTGACTGGAAGCAGAGGTGATGCGTTGGGGTCACATGCCCCTTGGCTTTTACTAAGCATGCTCACATGGACTAAGTATGCCCAGTAACACTGCTGAAGCTGGCTACCCTCACACTGTCCCCCGCCACCAACTATCAGCAGGCACGGTCATCTCTCCCTGGAACCAGAGATTGTTGAAGTGCTAAAACAACTTTTGAGAGCAGTAGTCTTTTCTGCATGTGCAGGGAGGATATTTTCTTTATTTCGGTTTATTTAACTAGTTCAGTTCAATGATTGTTCATTCAAGTTAGTTCATACAAAGTTAAGGAAGCAACTAGTAGTTAAAAATACAGAAAAGCTTGTTTTCATCTTCCAATCTATGAATAAAAAGTAGGCATGAGAGGATAAGTCTGGATTGTACTAGTATTAAGGTTAAAACCCATTTCTGATCAAAGCTTGTGTATGCATGGAATCTGTAAATAAAAGATTAGGCCACTATTAACCTTTTGTTGCTGTCCAGTAATTTTCACTCCTAAAAAAAATAAACCCATTTCTTGAATCTATCATTCACTAACTTCTCAGCAAGAGCTTCAAGTTCTGGTATATTTATTAATCAGGTAGAACCAAGAAATCATAGAATATTTATATATCAACTAGTTGTATAAAAAAACGTCATGGACTAAACAAGTTCCAAGCAATTTCCAAATCAAAGATTGTTTGACACTACTTGTTCTCTACAGTACAGACAGAGTACACAGCAAACTGAACCTAAAAGCATCAGGACATATAGACCTCAATTAAAATAACATCCATAAAACTGTTTACAACTGGTCTTGACAAAGTATTTGCATAACTCACTTTAACATTCATTTGCTACCCATTTTCTTCTCTTTGTGGTTCATATGCTGTCAGAGTTTTTTTAATCTTCTATGGTGTCTCAGCAACTGTCTAACCACATGCCTTCACTGTGAGACATACAAATTTCCTTCTTAGAGACACTCAACATATCTTAGAAGAAAACTTGTTCTCAATCATCTTAGAATCTAAGTTCCAAGTCCTGTCAATGTTTGAAACTGCAGTGAAGCATTATACTAGTCTAAGGGCTGGTCCACACTAAGCCCCCAGTTTGAACTAAGATACGCAACTTCAGCTACGTGAATAACGTAGATGAAGTCGAAGTATCTTAGTTCGAACTTAAAGGTACTTACCGCGGGTCCACACGTGGCAGGCAGGCTCCCCTATCAACTCCGCCTACTCCTCTCGCGGAGCAGGATTACCGGCGTCGAGGGCGAGCACTTCCGGGATTGATTTATCGCGTCTAGACAAGAGGCGATAAATCGATCCCAGAAGATCGATTGCTTGCCGCCGAACCAGCGGGTAAGTATAGATGTACCCTAACACTACTAATGCATCTTAAGGGTTTTTTTGTTTTTGTTTTTAAACACGTTAGACTTCACATCATCATCTAATAAACCTCTAGTATTATAAAATAGATTATGGTAATAATGTATAGTATGTTTTATATAACAAGCCAGAACATTGTTCAATCTGGATAGAAACATTTAAATCTGGAGTAGCTGGAGAGGACATGTTGATACAAATGATCAAACACACAACCATTCACGTGACAATAAAGAAAAAAGTCTGCTATGCAGGTCTACAGCCACCTATTTTGTTCAATACTTAGATGGACCATCGCTGTTTCATGCAATATTACAGAAACCAAAGGCATGTGAAAGGTCTAACAAATCCTGGCCCCATTGAAGAAGTCAGTGGCAAAACTCCCACTGGCCTCAGATGGGCCAAGATTTCGTCCTTTGAATATTCAGGATAATTGTTGCCATTTCATGGATGTTCAGTTATACCTTTTGTTCATTACACTCAAAGAGCTGGACTGAATGTGACAGTAACAAGGAAAAATATTTATCTGTAATTTTGTTTCTTTGAAGGTATCTCATATGATTATCATTCAGGGGGGTCATGCTGCCAGTTCAAGACATGACCGAATTCACCTAGCTCTAAAAATTATTGACCCTAAAAGGAAAGCGTACGATCTTCTCCTGTCCTCACCCATGAAATACAAAGGCCAGTTTCACACCTCTAGATCACGCTGTCTCATCCTCTGGGAAGTTTCTCTAATTTCATGGAAAGCAAAATCTTCCCAAAAACAAGTCAGCTGATAAAAATGAACTATAAAGGCATGGAAAGTTTTGGAACTCAAGAACATTTTGAAAGACTTAAGAAAGAAAATATTACTTCCAGAATAGGACTCCTCATAACTATCTGAGAATATACATTCTACAGCATATTTGGGAGAAAGGGGCAATGATGTTCAGTTACTTAGGTAGTCTTCTCTCAGGGTGATGTAACTCAATTGAAGAGGATAAAAACAATATTGAGAATTCTGTTCCTCAAGACAACTTGACAAACAATGCCTTCTGTATTGCTGCTGTTTGTTGGCCTTCATGTAATTTCATCTTCCCCTCACTACGTATTTACATCTGTCTAATAATGGGCTCTGAAAGAATGTATTTACAGTCAAACTTACTATACTGTTTACTTTGTGATACATACCCTGTAATAAACTGAGATTAAATCTATTATATGCGATACATATGATACCAAATATACATTCTACTAAAAAACTACGGTAACAATAAAAAAACATGTTAATAATCACCATGGCTAGGAAACTAAGGAATATTGTGGAAGTTACATCAGAATATTCATTAGAGAGTGCTCTAAACTAAATATCAATTTCACCATAATTTGAAGTATAATTCTTCCAACCATAATGTACTGAATTACTGTACTTATCAAACATAGGATTGTAACAAAGAGGTTTCTTACCTTCTGAAAAAAATCTTCTCCACTTTTGCCTTTGCCCTCAGCAGCAGCTGTAAATAAAATGACATTTATTAACAAAATAAATCTAAGAAATAGATTTACAGCAGCCAACTTTTAATATTATTTGAACAGAGTACTACTGAAATATAAATTCACACACATGCACATTTATTTCACTTTAACATTTCGCACTACTGTGAAATCATAACCAATCATCTTCAACTACTCATTTTTCTTATTAAGTATGCAAACAGGGCTTTGGAGCAGAGCCCGGAGCTGGAGCGCGGAGCAGCTCTGGAGCAGTGGAGCTGCAGGTTTTTGCCTGGAGCTGGAGGGGAGCCGGAGCACAGCTCCAAAGCCCTGTATGCAAATAGCTTTCATAAAGAGGGACTAGTATCTAGAACAATGAGTTCATGCAGTCCATTATCTCTGGAAACTTAGGCTATGTCTGCACTACCTCATAAGTCAACCTACACGAATAACGTAGCTGGAATCGACATACCTTAGGTCAAGTTACCATGGGGGGGTCGATGGGAGAAACTAACCATTGACTTACCTTACTCTTCTTGTCGGGGGGTAGAGTACAGGGGTCGACTGAAGAGCGATCTGCTGTCGATTTGGCGGGTCTTCATGAGACCCGCTAAATTGACTGCCGGTGGATCAATCTCAAAGCATCAATCCCAGCTGTAGTATAGACATAGCCTGAGATTCAAGTTCTGGCAGAGGGCTGTATTTAGTTCCTATTGAAACTAATGAGAATGTGTTCAGGCTCTTAATTTAAAAGTGAAGATTTATTTTGTAGCCTCAGTCTAATCATTCATATCATGCAAACACAGTGATTGATTCATTGGTCATCTCTGCTCAAAAGAAGTCTAGGGCCAGAAAGACACAGTGTTTACAGGTCAATATTTGTAGTGAACTGCAAAGCAACAGTGACCATTAAGTTAAACCCTGAAACATGTTCAACAATACTACTAACTGGTTTTCAATTAACTATTTTTAAATGCTAACCTTAAAAAGCTTTTATCTTAAATATTTTTATCCTTTACGTAATCCTCTTGGTACTTCCTGGTTCATTTAACTGTCAATATATCACCACAAATACCAGAAGCCTTTTTGAATCCTACGCATAATTCATGGTATTTGTGCTGTGAATAAATGATGAAACAGCTACATTTATACAGTGAATTTCCAAGGTAAACAATTTAATTAAGTATTTTTATTTAACACTAACCGATTTCAAGGAACAATATATAAAAGCTTTTTATATATTTGTGACTTATTTATGCTACAACTTACCACAAAACTTAAAACACACTGGATATTCCAGAACAAAGTTAATTATTCCCAAACATAAACACTTAGTTAAGAAGGAATTCCCACTGGAACTACATGCTCCTTAAACTTCATTACAATGTTACAGTAAAAACTCTAAACGGTCATTCTGCTTTTCATGTGAGTACTGTTCACATAGAGAATGGAGATCCAATACTCCGACAGCCTACCCTTCTACTATGGAAGAGAAATTACAACATTTTTCATCTCTCTCTTCAGTATTCAGAGAACACTCTCGCACTACATGACAGAGAACCGAATCTAAAAAAATATTACATATTAGAAACTTGTATTATATGTATTTCTTTCAACATCTCAAGTTGAGAAAGACACCACGCTGCAGATAAAAACCAGACACATGTCTTTAACAATTCAGGTCACAGGTCTCAAAATAACAAGAGAATTTAGTCTCACTACTTCCCCCAGACTAACAAACTGAACTCTACTGAAATCTATTTCATTTTCATTTGTGATTAAGGATGTGAAAAGTTTCTCAATTTATTGTAACACACCTAACATCAACACCTAATACTGAAAGCATTAAGCACATTAGAAATGCTCATGTGCTGATATAGAGTGCACAATTAAGAGTGAGTGTGGTATTGTAGAGATGTGAGATCTTGAGAGACATGAGATCTTGAGAGACATGAGATCTTCATTCACAGCTCATTGTACAATACCTTGACATCCAGGGAGAGGAAGAAGCTGAAGATTGCATGACATTTTTTGAAGGAGAAATGGATGACTCTCCTGTCTTCTCAGTCTTTGTGAGGTATTGTTGAGTTTATTAAAGTGTTACATTTGTCTATGCAAGTTAATACTCCACCAGTACGCAACACATACATTTATTTATAATATGTTTGAAAGGTGATATATTGTGACCCTAAGAGCCCTGTCATAACTATAAAGGGAAGGGTAACAGCTGTCCTGTGTACAGTACTATAA